TACACAAGCTTCTGAGATGGTGTGTACATGCTGTTTCAGACAGCACGTGAATATCAGCACTTAGCTCAACTCTGGGATGCAGAGAAGGTGTACAAATGTGAACACTACAGGACACTGCCCTGGGGAAAATAAAGGGCAGTGACCTGAAGTGTTGATTAAGCAAAGGCCAGTGCCCTAAAGTGGAATTGAGAGAAGGCCAACAATACTAAGATGCCCCCCACTGCCTGCAAGAGGGGACGAAAGAAGTGGGGCAAGTGTGTCCATAGATATGAACATCATTCTCTCCCTATACCAGTCAGTAAAGACAGGAGGAGGAGACTGCTTCTTCAAATGTGAAAACAGCAACACAAGCCTTCAAGGAGAATGAAGCATCGAGGAAACTTAACACTAATAAAGGAAAAAAATAAAGTCTCAGTAGCTGGCCCCAAAGAGGTGAATATCTATGAATTGCCTGATAGAGAATTCAAAATAGTTGTCTTAAAGAAGCTCAGTAAACTACAAGAGAACAGAGACAACTAAATGAAATCAGTAATACAATACTGATAATACTCTACAATAAGTTCAGTAGAGATAAAAATCATACAAAGAACCAAACAGAAATTCTGAAGCTGAAGATACAGTGGCTAAACTGAAAATTCTATAGAGAGCCTCAATAGCAGACTCAAACAGAAGAAAGAATTGGTGAACTTGAAAACAGATCAATTGAAGTGATTCAGTAAGAGGGAGAAACAAACAAAAGAATGAAAAAATGAAGAATGTATCTGTGACATATGGGACAGTATCAGACAAAATTCCAGAAGGAGCAAAGAAAGAAGAAAGGGACAGAAATCTTATTTAAAGAAATAGTGACAGAAAACTTCCCAAATCTGAGGAGGGCAGTGAACATCCAGATCCACAATGCTCAAAGAACCCTTAATAGGCTGAACATCAAGAGATCTTCACTGAGACATATCATAATCTAACTGTTGGAAGTCAAAGACAAAGAGAATTTTGAAAACAGCAAAAGGGAATCAACTCATTACGTACAAGGGAATCCTTATAAGACTACCAATGGATTTCTTAGCAGACTCCTGTAGACCAGGAAAGCATGGGGCAATATATTCAAAGTGCTGAAAGAAAAAAACCTGGCAACTAAGAATACTTTTTAGAGTGCCTGTTGTTAAAACAAACCAAAACAAAACAAAAGTGTTGGCAAGCATATGGAGAAAAGAGAACCCTGGTACACTGTTAGTGCGAATATAAATTGGTACAACCATTATAGAAAACAATATGGAGGTTCCTTAAAAAATTAAAAATAAAACTAACATATGACCTGGCAATCCCACTTCTGGGTATTTATCCAAGGGGGTTAAAATCAGGATCTCGAATAAATGTCTACACTCCCGTATTCTTTACAGCATTATTCACAGTAGCCAAATATTCACAATAGCCAAGAAGCAACCTAAAGGTCCATCTACAGATGAAAGGATAAAGAAAATGTTTAATATATCTATATAAATGTTTTATATATGTGTACATAAAAAATTTCCTTTATCCATTCTTCTGTAGATAGACCTTTAGGTTGCTTCTTGGCTAAAGCATATATACATATATAATGGAATATTATTTATGTTGTTTCTTGGCTAAAAAATACATATATATACATATATATGTATATAATAGAATATTATTCAGCCTTAAAAAGAAGGAAATGCTGTCATATGTGACATGAATGAACCTGGAAGACATGCTAAGTGAAATTAGCCAGTTACAGAAAGATAAATACTGCATGATCTCACTTATATGTGGAATCTAAAATATTCAGATTTATAAAAGCAGAGAATAGAATGGTGGTTGCCAGAGGGTAGAATGGTGATAACCAGGGGCAGGGGGAATGGGAAGATAGATGTTGGTCAAGGAGTACAAAGTTTCAGCTATGCAAGATGCATAGATTCTGGGGATTTATTTACAGCATGGTGGATAGATAACAATATTGTATTATAGACTTGAAATTTGCTAAGAGGGTGCAACTTAAGGGTTCTCACTACACACACCCACAAAGGGTAACTATGTGGTGTGATGGATATATTAATTAGCTTAATTGTGGTGATTATTTCACAGTATATACAGGTATTAAATCATCAAGTTTTATACCTGAAATATATACACAATAAAAATGGTTAAGATGGTAGATTTTATGTTATATGTATTTTACCACAATAAGAAAAATTGGAGAAAAAAAGACAGTGATTGATAGTTGGCCACTTTTTTTTCTCCTAAATGCTGGAGATGAGGATGAAATTACAAGTACTATAGTCCCTAGGTCACACTTTACTGGTCCTGCCTGTAAAGGGGGAGGGGAGAGGGACTAGATGGACACTAACAGTTATTAAGCATCAATTATGGGCTAGGCACTGTGTTAGGACAGTTTATATGTATTATCTCATTTGATCCTTGTGACAATAATATGAGATTGTGTGACTGCTCTATTACTTTTATTACTACTATATTACTTTTAATTATAGATACAATATAATAACTACATTAAAGGAGATTTAAAAATTAATTCAGCAAGCCAGTGGTCAGTCTAACCCAATGACAGATTCCACTTTTGCACAAGATCATGCCTTTTTGAACACTATTATTTCTGGTTTACTCCTCAGCCACCTTTTTTTTTTTAACTTCTGTGATGATGTTTACTGTTTCTGAAATGGGTTGAATCTGTCTGACTTGTCGTTGGACTCTCCCTCTTTGGCCCCTACAGATCATGTGTTTGCAGTTCAAGGAACTCACCTGAGTCTTGCCTTTAAGTCTTGCCTGGATTTGTTCAGATAAATAAAGTAGCAATAATAATAATAATAATTATTATTATTATTAAAGCTAACACTAATAATATTATATTATTATTTCATTTAATCCTCCTTTGAGACAGATGAACTGTCATTGTCTACGTATTGGTGCTCAGAGAGGTTAAATAGCTTGCCAGGGGCTCACAGATAGTGAATAGTGAAGCCAAAATGCAAATCCAGCCTGTCTTGCTCCAGAGAGAATATAGAGTGAACACAAATAAAATGTCTTAGTTACCAAGAAGTTGAGTCTCCATTAATAATAAGAAACAATTATGGCAGAACCAGATATAGTATGTGGTAGACAGAGGATCTAAACAAAGAATAACCTCTCACCTTTCAGGCCCTTTCTATATCAAACATTCTTGCTGCCAGTTGCCTTTACTTAGGTTGGAGTCTTACTCATTTTCATCTGGTAACCTCCCCTCTCTAGGATGGAAGCCACATGAGACTATTGAGCATTTGAAATGATGCTTGTCTGAAAAGAGATGTGCTATAAGTAGAAAATATCAGATTTAGATTTTGAAGACTTACTATGAAAAAGTATATAAAATATCTCATTAGCAACTTTCAAAGTATTGATTGCATGTTAAATTTAAAAATATTAAAATTAATCTCGCCAATTTTTAAATATGACCATTAGAACATTTAAAATTCTTACGACTTGCATCATATTTCTACCAGACAGAGCTGCTTAGATTTACTAATTCGTATCTTTCTCCTTTCAGTTCTGTAGACTTGATGAAAGGTTTGTCCTCAAGAACTTTGCCTTTGGGACTGGGTTAGTCATTTAAGGCTCTAAAAGTCAGTGTTAAGCTCCTAAACTTACTGTATTTAGTTTATTTATTTTAACAAGTTTAACTGTTTACACCCAATACAGGAGGTGATAAGGAAAGCATTTTCTTTTGTCTGCTTTAGCCCCTGCTTTGCTCTGAAATTAAATCTCCGACCAGAACATGGTTGCTACCCTGTCTTATGACCCCACGATTGACTTTTCTTTTCAAACTGAGACGTGTGCTGGGGAAATAATTCTTTATTTTTCTGCTCAAGGGCCAGCTGAAGAATTCCAAGTTGCCTTTGAAATGTTTAGGAAATGGTATAGCCTGTTATTAACTCTTTCTGCTAGAGAACCTTAAGCATTAGTTACACTGCTATTGTCATCAACTGTTTCAGACATCTCTCTTAAATGTTGTATATCCAGAAAAAGTCACAGCCTCCCTGCTTAAGAAACTTGGGACATTAATGAAGAGGCAGACTTTCTGATCTATTAGGCAGTGACAAAGACTGAGTAATCAGAGTGAGATGGTGAGGCTCAGTCTCTAACGTCAACATAGAGCCAGCAAAGAGAGTGAGCTATGTGGTCTGCAGTATTTGGGGAAGGCTTTTCGAAGGCAGTGAGCCTGGAGGGATGAGTGGTTTTTGGACTGCTCTAAAGTTAGTGATATAGGCTAGGATGGTCACAGAGATGGGCATGATATTGCCAGGGGACAATTTGGGGAGGGAGGGACGTAGCCCCTGGGAACAGTCACAGGTAAGTGTAAGTGAAGTTGGAGGTGGGGATAGATGATAGGGGTCTAGAGTCTGAATATGACTCAGGGGGAACCTACTTGTATGTTCCTGGACAGAGTCAGACAATGAAAACCCCAGTCTTATGTTCTGAGGGATTGTGTGTGATTTTCGCATCTTCTGTTTGTCAGTATGGAAGTTGACACAATGGCAAAGCATTAAAACATTTAAATAAACAATTATATAGTACTTATGTGTATCAGACACTTTATTTTAAAATACATACATAATTTTAAAACAAATACATAATTATATCATGGCAAGTGAAATTGTTTCTTGCTTATAGTAATCAATTTAAAGCCACATATTAAGTTAATGATACTGTAAAAGGCAGGTAGATGTAACAAACGTCTTAAAGGTTTTCTTTTTTCTTTCTTTCTTTCTTTCTTTTTTTTTTTTTTTTTTTGAGATGGAGTCTCGCTTTGTCGCCCAGGCTGGAGTGCAGTGGCCGGATCTCGGCTCATTGCAAGCTCCGCCTCCCGGGTTCACGCCGTTCTCCTGCCTCAGCCTCCGAGTAGCTGGGACTACAGGCGCCCACCACTACACCCGGCTAATTTTTTGTATTTTCAGTAGAGACGGGGTTTCACCGTGTTAGCCAGGATGGTCTCGATCTCCTGACCTCGTGATCCACCCGCCTCGGCCTCCCAAAGTGCTGGGATTACAGGCGTGAGCCACCGCGCCTGGCTAAAGGTTCTCATATTGCATTTTACTGATGGACAACTGAGACTCCAGAGGCCCCAAAACTTCATACAGCAGATTTATCTAGCAGTGGCATGCAGGGTAGGTTGAGGGTTGAGCAAGGAGGTCAGTTAGCAAATTCTTCAGGAGTGAGGTGATGGGAGTCTTGTTCTGAAGCGGCGAGAATGGAGAGGAAACATGAGAACTGTTGGTCGGGCCATTGTTCAGGAAGCTGTTGCTGTGTGTCTGGTTACTTCTCTGTACATTTGGGTTAATCTCTGATGACCATTTAAGGTGCAGACTCCTGGTGTGTGGCAGTGGTTCTGTATGGCAAATTGGGCGGGTGCCATGAGAGAACTCATAATCCAAGGCTGACATTATCCAGTGCTTACAGTGGGCCACACGTCCTATGCTAAGTCCTGAATTACCTCTTTCATTCCTCACCATAACTCAGTGAGGTGTCTGCCATTATTTCCCCTCTTTTACAGACGAGGGAACCAAGGCTCAGCGAGCTTCAGTAATTTGCCACAAGTCAGACAACTAGGACTCAAACCCAAGTCTGTCTGACTGCAAGGTCTTTAACCATCATGTATACTGCCCGCCTCATTATTGATTGATAGTAATGACTGTTTATAGCATCTTTCGTGTTTCTCCCTCATTTAACCTTGAGTAGGGGTTTCTCTGACTTAGCTTGGAACTCAGTATTGGAAACAACAGAAATTCACCAGGCAAAAGCTCCATTTCTAACCCCCTGTGCAACATACTTATATGTCTTATTCTATGGTTTATATCATCATTAAAGTGGCTCTACTTGGCCCTTTAAGAAGCTAATTAATCACTAAATATAAACCACAACTTGTTCTTTTCAATCCTCTGCATGTTTCTTCCCCCCATTGTGTGATGCCATCTGGTGCTATGAGCTCATGCTTTTTGTGTTCCTTTTCAGAGAGCCAGATTCATTGCTCTCTAAACCCAGAAAGCCGGTTAATTTCAAAGTTTGCATGTATGACTTTGAAAAAATTGGAATCTAATGCCTCCTTGTGGATTTTAACAGTATAAATTATTCCTTAACACTGCATGGAACTTCCATCTTTACCACCATCTATGTATATGTGTATGCTTGTCTTTTTATCAAAAAGACCTAATTTGTTTTTGGTTGCTTGATTTGTTCTGTCAAGCAACTACAGGTCTTTTCCTGTAAGATTTTTGTGGTTTCATTTTGTCAATTTAATGTGTGTGCTGTAGGGAGGCAAACCTTAATAATACTGCTTTCCTCTTCTCTATCTGACTTTCTCCTACGACAGTGGAACAAGTGTTTAAGAACAAGGACATAAAACAGCTAATGGCAGGTCTCTGACACTGCTGCTGAGCTGTCTTTCATTCCCACTTTCTCTTCTAATTCTGCCTGAAGTCTCTAATCATCTTCCAAGGGAGTGGAACACCTGGACCATAGAACATTTTCTTGCAAACTCAGCTGTGGAGCTCTGGGCTTGCTACCAGACCCCCACTCTTTGGAGTCCTTGAGTACCGCTTGTTACTGTCAACCCAGACCTCATCATTTTCCCTACCCTCTTTCTCTTCTCATTTCAGAATTCTTGGCACTTTAAATTTAGCCTGAGAGCCCCATGGAGAAGGAAAGGCGATTTGGTGATGTGTGCACTACTTACCTCATTCCTGGCACATGCAGAGGAAGCAGGAGAACCCTGGGCCAGCTGCCACCTCCTTCCTGTTACTCTTCTTGCCCACTGGGATCCTGCCCATTACAAGCAAGGAGCAGAGGAGGAGATGGGTCTTGAGTATATTTGCAGTGATTTAAAAGGGACCACACGTTTCCCTGGCACAGAAGCTGTTCTAAGGCCAGCTCCTGTGAGTCTGAGAAAATAGTTTCTCCCCAATTTACACTCTCTCTCCAGCATTTAAGCAGCTTCTGTGAGAGGCAGGTAGGATGAAGCCACTGAGTCAGCCATGTAGCCAATCCAATCTCCTTCAATTAAGAATCAACTTTGTTTCCAAAAGAGCATATGTTGGTGCTAAATTGGAAAGATTGTTTTTTATTTCAAATTGACAGTACATCTAGTAACTCTAGCTTAACTGTCCACAAAATTAAGATGCATGTCTAGAAAACTAAGGACTGCTAACTTTTCTGAGCAGTAGTATTTAATATATAAAGTTTGGGTAACAGCATTTATGTTAAAGCTTGGTTACAACTGAGTAATAGCCTCAGGCTAGTTACTTAACTCTGAGCTTCAGATTTTTTTACTCATTTAGTGTGGTTAATAATACCTTTTATATTTAGCTCAGAGGGTTGTTGATGAGTAGCAAATGCATTGTGTCAAATACTTTTTCTGCATCTTTGAGATGATCAGGTGGTTTCTGACCTTTATTCTGTTGATATGGCATGTTGTATTAATTGATTTTAATATGTTGAAACAGTCTTGCATTCCTGAGATAAATCCCACTGGATCATGACGTACAACCCTTTTCAAATGTTGCTGAATTCAGTTTGCTAATATTTTGCTGAGGAATTTTGCATATCTATTCATAAGGAATAGTATGTATTTTCCTTTTCTTGTGGTATCTTTGGTTTTTCATATCAGGGTAATTACTGGCCTCATAGAAAGAAGTACAAAGGTGCCTTCATTTTCTGTTTTTTGTTGTTGTTGTTTTGAAGAGTCTATGAAGGATTGTTAATTCTTCCTTAAACATTTGGTTCAATTTACCAGTGAAGCCATCTGGTCATGGACTTTTCTTTGTGGTGCGTTTTTACTAAGTTAATTACTAAATCAGTTTCTTTACTTGTTATAGATGTGTTCAGATTTTCTGTTTCTTCTTGACTCAGTTGTCTTGGAGTTTTATATTTCTAGGTGTATGCCATTTTATCTGTTTTATCTAATTTGTTGGCATGTAATTTTTCACTGTGTTCTCTTAAGCTTCTCTATATTTCTCTAAGATTGTTAGTAATAGCCTCTGTTTCATTTCTGATTTTTGTTGTTGTTGTTTTGTTTTTTTGGAGACAAAATCTTGCTGCATTGCCCATGCTGGAGTGCAGTGGTGCCATCTTGGCTCACTGCAACCTCCGCCTCCCAGGTTCCAACAATCTTTGTGCCTCAGCCTCCTGAGTAGCTGGGATTACAGACATGTGCCACCATGCCTGGCTAATTTTTTGTATTTTTAGTAGAGATTAGAGATGGGGTTTCCCTCTGTTGGCCAGGCTGGTCTTGAACTGCTGGCCTCAAGTGATCCATCTGCTTCAGCCTCCCAAAGTGCTGGGATTACAGGCATAGCCAAATTTTGGTTTTGTTTACTTTCTCAATTTTTAATTTTTCATTTTATGTATTTCCACCCTAGTTTTGTAATCTCTTTCCTTAGTGTGCTCTTCTTTTTCTAGTTTTTTAGGGTGGAGAGTTAGGATACTGATTTGAGATCTTTTTGGTTTTATTTTTGTTTTGAGATAGTCTCACTCTGTCCCCCAGGCTGGAGTGCAATGGCGCAATTTCAGCTCACTGCAGCCTACATCTCCTGGGCTTAAGCAATCCTCCTACCTCAGCCTCCTGAGTAGTTAGGACTACAGGTGCATGCCATCATGCCTGGCTAATTTTGTTTATTTTTTGTAGAGACAGGATCTCACTGTGTTGCCCAGGCTGCTCCTGAACTCCTGGGTTCAAGTGGTGCTCCCACCTCAGTTTCTCTAGTGTTGGGATTACAGGCATGAGCTACTGTGCCAGGTGAGATCTTTTTTTAATGTAGGCATTTACAGCTATAAATTTCCCTCAAAACATTGCTTTAGCTGCATCACATAAATTTTGGTATGTTGTAATTTTGTTTTTATTAATTTCAAAATGTTTTCTAATTTGCTCTAGTGATTTCTTCTTTACCTTATTGGTTATTTAGGAGCGTATTACTTAATTTCCACAAATTTGTGAATTTCCAAAATTTTATTTTATTATTTATTTCTAATTTCATTGCATTGTGGTGAGAGAACTTACTTTGTATGACTTTAATGTTTTTAAATTTATTGAGATTTATTTTATTGCCTACATATGGTCTATCCTAGAGAATATTCTATGTGTACTTGAAAAGAATGTGTATTTTGCTATTGTTGGATGGAGTGTTCATAGATGTCTCTTGTATCTAGTTGGTTTATAATGTTGTTCAAGTCTTCTGTTTTTTGTTGATCTTCGGTCTAGTTGTTTTACTATTATTGAAAGAGAAGTATTGATGCCTCCAACTATTATTATTGAATTGCCTATTTTTCCCTTCAATACTGTCAGTTTTTGGTACTGCATGTATTTTGGGGCTCTATTGGTCAGTATATGTTTATGATTACTATATCTTCTTGATGGATAAACCCAGTTATCATTAGAAAATATCTTTCTTTCTCTCTAGTAACAATTTTTGTCTTAAATTCTGTTTTGTCTGATATTAGTATAGCCATTTCATCTGTCTTTCAGTTACAGTTTTCATGGTATATCTTTTTCCATCCTTTAAAATTTCAACCTATTTATGTCTCTTGTAGAGAGATCCTTTAAAATTTCCATCCTTTAAAATTTCAACCTATTTGTGTCTCTTGTAGACATCATATAGTTGGATTATGTTGTTTTATCTACAATGCCAATCTCTGCCTTTTTATTGGAGTATATATTTATATTTAGTATAATTTTTGGTAAGGTAGGATTTATATATGCCATTTGTCTATTTGTTTTCTATATGACATATGCATTTTTTTCCTGTTCCTTCATTAATGTTTTCTTTTGTGTCAAATATGTGTTTTCTAACATAGCTTTTTAATTCTTTTTGTTGTCATTGTTTCATTTACTACATTTTTTTTTGTTGTTGTTATTTTCTTAGTTGTTGCCCTGTGACGTCTTAATTTAGTTTGGATTAATACCAATTGAATTTCAATAGTATATAAAAACTTTGCTTCTATATAGTTTCATCCCCACTCTCCTCCTCTGTACTATTATTGTCATACAAATTACGTGTTTATACATTGTGTGCTGATCAACCGAGATTTATAATTATTGCTTTTTGTCTTTTAAATCAGATAGGAGAAAAAAAGCTGCCAACAAAAATACATTTATACTGTCTTTTATGGTAACTTATGTTGTAAACTTTATATGTGCTCTTTATCTTTTAAATATGAGTTCAGTTATTATCCTTCATTTCACCCTGAAAGACTCACTTTAGTATTTATTTTTAGGCCAGGTCTCTCAGTTTTTGTTTAGCTGGGAATATTTTATTTTTTTCCTTCATTTCTGAAGGATAACTTTGATGCATATAGGATTCTTGGTTGACAGTCTTCTTATTTCTGTGTTTTGAATATGTCATCCTATTCCCTTCTGGCCTCCATGATTTCTGATGAGAAATCAGCTGATCATGTTTCAAAGATTTTTTTTTGGTGTATATGATAATTTGCTTTTTTCTTGCTGCTTTCAAGATTCTCTGTCTTTGGCTTTCAACAGTTTGATTATGATCTGTCTGGGTGTGGGTCTCTGAATTTATCTTATTTGTAGTTCCTTGAACTTCTTAGAAATGCAGGTTCATGTTTTTAAATGAATATGATTTGTTTTAAATCAAATTTGGGAAGTTTTTGGCAGTTATTTCTTCAAATATTCTTTTTTGATCTTCCTTCTCTCCTCCTTTCTGCAGCTCTCATTATGCTTGTGATGGTGCCTCACAGGTCTCTGAGGCCCTGACCATTTTTAAAATCATCCTTTTTTCTTTATTTTTCTCAGATTGGATAATTTCAATGGACCTGTCCTCAAGTTTGTTGCTTTTTTCTACCTCCTCAAAACTTCTTTTAAGCCTCTGATGCGTTTTTCTTTTCAGTTATTATACTTTTCAACTCCAGAATTTCTGTTTTTTTCTTTTCAAGAATATTTCTGTCTTATTACTAATATTCTCTATTTAGTGAAACAGCACTCTTGTCCTTTCCTTTAGTTATTTGGATAGGTTTTCTTTACTTTGAACATATTTAACATAGCTGATTTAAAATCTTTGTAAGGTAAGTCCAATATTTGGGATCCCTCAGTGACAGCTCCTATCGACTGCTTCTTTTTCTTATTCTTTGCATGTCTTGTACTTTTTTTGTTGAAAACTGGGAATTTGAAATAACGTACTATGGCAGCTCTGAAATGAGATTCTTGTCCCTATTGTTGTTGCTGTTGTTTCTTTAGTGGCTTTCCTGAATGAATCCTGTGAAGTCTGTGTTCTTTGTCATAGGAGGGCCCTTAAGTCTCTGTTTGATTAGCTTAGTGGTAAACTAATTGTACAGAAATGTTCTTAGCCCGCTAAAACCAATAAACCTTCCAGTCTTTGCCAGTGGGGTTTGTTGTGTGCCTGTTGAGTATGCCTTCAACTCTGCCGTAGCTTTCACTTCCTGCTTACAGAGCCTCAAGGTCAGTCTCAAATGGAATGATAGTTCTGAAGAATACAAATGTAAGCTATTACTACATTTGTGGTCCTTTATCTGTCATTGTTCTCATACTATATTGTTTTGCCTTTAGAAGCACAGGCATTTCCTGACTTATAAACAGCTAACTTATAAGTAAACAGCTACCTTTAATGCCTTAGACCTCACAACCACTGCCATTGGGCTCATGTTGACAAAACAAATTTAAAAAAAAAAGAACTTTGAATTTTGAGAAAATGTGTGGTTTCACAAAAAAAAAGCTTCCAAAAATCAGAGATAGTTTGGGTAGTTTTTCTCAAAGGGAGATTCAAAGACTACCTACATCAGAATTACTTGGGATGCTTGTTAAAATTCAGCTTCCTGGCTCCATCTCAAAACTTTTGATTCAATATATCTGGGGTAGAGTCCAGGAGTTTAAATTTTTGACGAGTCACCTAGGTGATTCTTATGTACACTAATATTTGAGAAACTCCTTAGGGAAGATGATCCTGTAGGTACATTCACAGGAGGGACTGAGGTTCATGATGCAAATTGTGCACAAATATTAATCTCTTCCCTTCACTGTATAATCTTTTTAAAATTTCACTTTTATACACACTAAGATTCCACCAATTAGAAATTTATTTGCATCTATGAATTTTTTTTTAAACAGCTGGCAGTGTTAAAGGACTAACAGTCACTCATGCTTTTTAAAAAATTAGTTTAATCAGATTGCATTTATCCAAACAACTGGCCAAGATGATTTAAAGTGAGAGAAGAACATTTTATAAGTTTTATAAATTTTAAGACAGAGTAGATACTTTTCATGAAATTCAGAAGCCTTTAGGAGAAGAGAATAATGGACCCATGTTAATTTATGCAGTAAAACATGGGTGTGTGAGGTGGGTGTGAGGAGGTAGAGAGTTACTAGATTAACCAATGTGTACACCTGCCCATGTCAAAATATTGTGCCTGGAGCTGGCCATTCAACCAGATAGGGGAGGAAAATTATTTTCTTTCTTGTCTCTACTTTCAGTATTACCCTTTTTCTCAAGATCTAGAATTCAGGTCAGTATAATTTTATTAAGGAATTATATCAGCTGCACTAGGGTTAAATAGGCTTTTGAGGGTTGTCTGGAGATATAATAACCACCTAAACCATGTGGAAGGTTATCTTTATGGAAAAATGTCTTCTGGTTTCCAAATAACACACTTCATAATGAACTTCATGAGGCTACCCATTTGAGAGTTTGAGACTGGATCAGATTCAGATATGTGATTTATCTGTGCTAATTTAAAATTCTAAGCTGATTTTCCCAACCATCTGTGTACTTTTAGGCCATTTCTCCTTGAGGAGTTTTGTGTTTAGGTAAAACAAACTCCGTATCGGAAAACAATTAGGGGAGTATAGATCCTTATACAATTTAATACATTAAAAAATGAAACCTGATTTTAAACATTATTTTATGTTTTAGGTTTTCATTGCTCTGAATCAGGAGATTCTTATCTCATCTCCCATTCAACCCAGGTTAGGTTACAGTATTCTGCCTCAGGTCTCAGAATTCTGTTACAAATAAGCAGACTCGTAAATCGCGTTTCTTATTTCCTTCAAGGTATTGCGCAGCGATGCACGGCCATCAAGTACCACTTTTCCCAGCCCATCCGCTTACGAAACATTCCTTTTAATTTAACCAAGACCATACAGCAAGATGAGTGGCACCTGCTTCGTAAGTATTTCCAGGACAGGTTCAGAGAGGAAATGGTGTCTTTCTGAACAAAATTCCGACCACCCCTCTCACATCTAGACAGCAGGATGTTGTTCTTATCCTCTGTAAGCCTCTGGGCCCAATCCGATGTAGTCAGAGACTCAGAGGATCATTTCCCTATGCTGTGGACACAGTTTGCTTAAAAATAAAATGTGTGGAAACCTGGTATGAGGTCTTGTGAGACAGTCTGCCCTGGTGGCATCTGTCCACAGCTGCCTACTGAATCTTTTGTTTGCCGAGTCATTGGATGTAAGGACCTGCTGTATCCCTTGTCTTAGTAAACCAAGGAGATTATATGTTAGGGCTCTTATTTTTGTTTTGTATATACAATATTTATTTTAGCTACTGTGTTTATCTCCAACCTTTGTATTTCTGCTAAAATACCTTTATGAGTGTATGTCATAATTTTCTCAGAGGGTGTCTACATCTCAATGAAAGGAACTACTCTTTTTCACTGTCAGGAAAATGTGAAACTCTAGAAAGGATCACGTAGTGTGAAACTAAAGAGGGCTGATATTTACCTAAAAACTGTTGCTTTAAGCTGCCTGATGATAGATAGCTCCCCAAAACAAAAAACTAAAGTGATTTTTTTGGTCTTTGCCCCCATCAGAGATTGACATTGTCATTTTCCAATGAAATAAGTAATGAGGACTTCAGGATCTTGTTTGGTGGCCAAAGCTACTGTGGAAAACTAATCAGTCTTATTCTGTAAGTCAATCTCTCTGAGGATTAAAAGGCTCTGTTCTGAATCTCAAACATATAAATGGAAGCTCTTCTGATATTGCCAGAGCAGTGGTCTAATATTATACATATTATGACGGGCAACTTTAAGACTTAATCATCTTTCCAGAGAGCTATGTAGTTACTGGCTGAGGTCAGGGAAGAAAAGATCATCATAGGAGCCTGAAAAAGAACCATAGCTCTTTAATAGTTTGTAGCCTGTGATTGCCCAGCAAGCAATATTTGAAGATTCTTCTTTTAATCCTTTTTGGAGTTCTCATGGAAAGATGCTTTCAGCAGTCGCATGCATGTCTATTTCTAAGAAAGTCACACTTGGTGATTTGTAGCACATTTACTGTGTAAGCTTAACATGACTGGTACTAATGCAAATCCCATGTGGATTATATCTGAACCTTGTGCCTTTTCAGAGTCACAGAAAATAGACTATTACTCAAACCACAGGAAATTTGGTAGGCTGTAAGATAATAGTGACTGAACCATTACTACATTTCCCCTGCTCAGATGTGGATGTCTCAAAAACTACTTATACCCTTAACACTAAACTCCGCATCTTCATATTATCACTGCCCCTGGCCCCTTGTTCATTGGTGTCCACATTTCTTCTTCTAGGCAGAAATACTCTCTTTTAATTTGGATGCTCTGAACTGGAAATGAGAAATCCCCCTTTAAAAAAGGGATGGTCTCTCTGTGGCTAAGATGCTAAGAGCAAGACTGGAAGCTACTGTAATCCATCCTCGATGAAGCCACCCCTAATGCCCAGGAGCCACACAATAAAGTGATGGCTGCATGGGCACTTTCACTTTAGCAGAGCATCCCACACTTCAAACAGTGTGATGTGCACCTTGTCTTGGCCCCATGTGTACACAGGTGTGCATGATCCACGTGCATTTGCCCACACCTGTTACCTGGCCTTGGGGGCAGCAGATGTATGCTTGGGATGTGTTGTTTTAAGAAGGATGATTGAAATTTAGCTAACAATTTTTAAAGTTAGATTTGTTAAAAAAATCCTTTGAGATGGAGCTGTAAGGTAAATAAAAAAAACTAAAAAGTATTTTTTTAAAAACAAGGAAGAAAATAGGAAAAGTAAAATAGCTGGAAGGTAGGCAAGGTAAGTGCCGGTTTAGTAGTTGGAGGCAATGTGTGTCCAGGTACCTGTAGTCAGCCTGCCTCTTGGTTTTGCCAGGGAGGTGGGGAAAGAGCTGGATTTCTGGCTCAGTAATCACAGTTGTGATTTTGCAATAGGCCAAACTTGACGGTTGGGCCACTGTATAGTGGAGACTTATCCTATTGGAATAGTACCTCCTTCACCTGGGTAAATGGATGCCCAGGTTGTGGGATCTATGCTTTAGGGGTGAAGGCATTTATGAGCAGATGTTTCAGAGGAAAGGGTGTTTATGAGCACATGTGTCCTGTGTGCACTTTGCACCACTGTTCCAGTCACCACAATTACCTTCACTTTCTCAAATCGTTTTTGAAAATAGGCAGGAGTAGATGTAAATGAAGAAGGAAATAATTGGCATCTGTGTTGATCAGATAAAACCCTATTTCACAATAGCTTTTTTAGGCTCTTTCTCCTAAGCCAGATTAAGTACAGCCACTACCGTGGGGGTAACCTACATTTCTTTTTTTTTCGTTTTTAAAATTTCAATAGTTTTTGGGGTGCAGGTGGTTTTTGGTTAACCTACATTTCTATTGCTCTGTTAAGGCTAACAGATATTTCTCAAACCCACCTCACTCTTGGTTTAAGTCATTTGACATCTGTTACTCAGGTCTATCCTGGGCTTGTCCTCTAGTCTATTCTCCACTTGGTGTGGACTTCTCCATGGACTCAGAGAGGGTAGAGTCTGACCCTCCCTTGGTTACACCCCATTAGTCCTCTTATGGAGTGCCTGGGAAGAGTATTCCCTAAGCCTCCTCGCCCTGTAGGCTCTAAGCCTGTCCATGTAACTTACTAATTTTCACAAGGTATACAAAGCCCTAATTCTCTAATTCTTAATGACTTTCCTGAATTCTGATTGTGAATGTCTGTGTCTGTTTTGAGATTAGATTTAAGAAGAATCACTGCTGGCTTCCTGGGCATGGCCGTAGCCGTCCTTCTCTGCGGCTGCATTGTGGCCACGGTCAGTTTCTTCTGGGAGGAGAGCTTGACCCAGCACGTGGCTGGACTGCTGTTCCTCATGACAGGTAGGCTGCACGTCTCAGGCCGTCTGTCCCTGCCAAGGTGAAGGCTGCTCTGCATGCGGCTAGCTAGTGTCGCTTTGTTATCTCCCTGTTAATTTTGTTTTCACCTTTAGAAAAGCAACCAGAAGGTCATTTTGGCTTTGCTGGGAAATACAGAATTTAAGGAAAATAGTGGTGTGAAAAATGCATTCTCCATATCCCCATTGTGGCCTGTTAGTAGGTTAGATGGAAGTGTCTTGGGTTTAATCTCTAAAATGAGCCCAGTCTGTTTTTTTGCTCTTCTTTCTTTTTTTGAGATGGAGTCTCACTCTGTCACCCAGGCTGGAGTGTAGTGGTGTGATCTTAACCCACTGCAACCTCTGTCTCCTGGATTCCAGTGATTCTCCTGCCTCAGCCTCCTGAGTAGCTGGGACTACAGGCATGTGCCACCACACCTGGCTAATTTTTGTAGTTTTAGTAGTGTTTCACCATGTTGGCCAGGCTGGTCTTGAACTCCTGACCTCAGGTGATCCCCCCTCCTCAGCCTCCCAAAGTGCTGGGATTACAGGCATGAGCCACCACGCCCCGTTTTCTGTTCCTTATTTCATACTGTGCCCCAAACCCTGGCCTGGACTCTTGGCAAACATGGGCCATTGCTTATGAGGTGCCCTCAAAGACAGAGGGGGATAGATCATTGCAACCCATCCCCTGGCTGGATGTCAATTCAAAGGTCATGCTTTAGTGATGTTGTCATTTTTACATACACAACACTCATTCATTTTACTCCACAGATATCCTTTGAGGACTTACTATGTACGAGGCACTGCTGTGAGTGCTAAAGACACACAATGAATAAGGCAGGCAAAATCCTTGTTCATTTTTATTGTGGAGAGACATAAACAATGATTTGTGGTGTGATAAAAGCTGTGAAGAAAAGAAACAGGGTGAAATAGAGACTCAGGGAAGATCTTGCTGAGGTGGCGATTTCTGAGCTAATTCCTGAGAAGCAGCCGGTGGTGGGAAGAGCGCAGCAGACTGAGGAAACCACTAGTGCCAAACCAGAGAGAAGCGGCCAGTGGGGCTGGAGGGAGTGAGGGACAGGATAGTATCACATGAGGTGGGGGAAGTGGGCAGTGGCCAAAGCTTCAGGGCTTTGTTGGTCATGGTGGAGAGCTTGGATTTGAAGCTAAGGGTGACAGATGCCCCTAGAAGGTTAGAAGCAAAGGAGTGACTTGATTTTTAAACAAGAGATTGGAAAGGGTGGGGGTGTGGAGACAGGGCTAGGATGTTTTTGAGTAACAGCTAAAGGGTAGTTTTGTCTAAAAAGGTGCCAGGTGCTGAGTCGACGGCTAACACTGACCGACGGTAGCTTCAGGGAAGAAATCTTTCCTTTCTTCTTCTCCTTCACAGAAAACTCCTGTATTAATGATTAGTGAATGCCAAATTAACTGGGCATTAACAGTTTCACAAAGTATACTCAGCAACAGAACGAATATTCCCCTAGATAGAGAGCCATTTTAAATAGGCTTATTTCCACTTGCCTGGAATTCTGTTATTCAAGTGACCACGCCTAGATTTCCTAGCGCTTCTCACTGTAATGGGTCACCTAATTACGCCTGTGTTAACAGGAGGCAGCCACACCCCACCAGGGCTGTCACTGTTTGCTGACTGACTGTCTCTGAGGGCTGACAGATCGGGGGTGCTTTGCCCTCTGGCATCGTCAACCACCCTGCAGCCTTAAGGAACCCACTTCTCAGGCAGGGATCCTTCCTTCGAACTCCCACTCGTCCCTGTCCCACTCCACGAAATGGTGCTGCAATTGGCAGTGATCTGGAATGTGGGGCATCATCACCAGCATCCTGGAACATTCAGAAGTCACATGGATCCTGCCTAGTTCCGAGCAGAAAACCAATTTAGGTTTTCTGGATTTTGGTGAATACACAGTGGCCACCAGGACTGTAGCACAGGGAGGCTAAAATGTTAGTTTCTGAGGTTTTAGAGGCGGATTTGGACCCTCAAGACCAGCCACTGGGTTCCTGCCCAAGGGATGCATTTAAAATCCAAATTATAGAGTAAAGCAGACAAGGGCAACAAAGAATCAGAGAGGACTGCACTGCACAGAGGATTCCTTTATGCTTCTGCTGGGGCTTAGTGATTACTTAAAAATCTCCCCTGTTTTCTTCTCTCCCTTTATTTAAGCCCCCATTTCTCTGACTCGTGTCTCCATAAATATCGAAGAGGTACAGACGTGTTGCCTCCCAACCCTGGAAAGGCCCCATACCACTCCCCTTGTCAGGGGATTTGTTACAACTTTTGTTAGAACTAAAGATTCTAACAATTGTTAGAACTAAAATAAATTTCAAGACCGTGAAAGCCTACTGAGTGCTCCTTGGGAGACTGAGGGGCCAGTCTGGTTTTAAATGAAAGGAAGTTGAAGGTTCAATGGCAGGTGGGCACAGAGGAGAGGCAGGAGTTTCCTGGGCCAGCTCTACCTCTTCCTGTTCTCAACCCTTGTTTTGGATCCATGTGTGGATTGTACCTCTGGACCAGAGGAGCTCAGGAGTCCTCAGGATCGAGCATGGGAAGCTCCTATGTAATTGTTAGGCAACATCAAAACAAGCAAAGCAATACCCACAACAGAAACCACCACCACCACCACCACCACCAACAACAACAACAACAACAAAAACCCAAATAATAAACTTGAAGTTTGATGACCAGTTCTGAAGGACTAATAGATACAACCTAACATTGTTAACATTGTTCTGTTGTTTTGTTTAGTTTCGGTTGCCCAAACAACATTATTGAAATTAAGGGGGAATCCACTTACAGACCTCATCACCTGAAAACAAAAAAACCTTTTTTCAATATTTTCCTTATTCTGGACCAAATCTTGTCATGTATTTGCTTCATTGTAAGCAAAGAAGAAAGGAAAAGGAAGGATAAGAAAAGGGGAGGGGATGGAAGACAGGGAGAGGAGAAACATGTTTTTCCGTGGAGTGGATATGCTATGCTGGATTCACCTGTTCTGTTGCTATGGGATTCAGGGGGGTTTGTTTTGTTTTTGTTACTACAAATAATGCCTTGAAATTTCCTTTGCAAACACTGAGACAACCACGTCAATCTATTGCATGAGATAAATTAGCTGTAGAACGTTCATATGCAGGAGATGAGAGCAAAAAAAGGGTTAAAAGAATAGATTTTAATTAAGCAGAGTGTCTTTAGCCACTCAACTCAGCATCCTTCCCACAGAGTTTTGATGCTAAACTTAGCCCCTTCTAATGCTCTGCCATCTTCATTCTCTGCCTGAACTTATTAGCTAAACTTTCAAATGAAGAACATCAACCATGTGACAGGTTGGGCGGTTAAAATGGAAACGTTGGAACAATCTTTCTCCTTCTGCCTTATTGATTGCACAGACAGGTCTTGATTACCACATGTGACACAGCAGCCCTGCTGACTGTCGATGCACATCTGGAGCCAGGTCTCACCCCCTTTTCTCTTCCCTGGGGCCATGCAAGGGTCCTCCCAGAGAGCCAGGGCCAGCCTGCACATCGCCCACGGGCCTTCAATTTAGACTTTGGATGTCACACCCTCTGAGGTTACACACACACAGGCACAGAAGCATACACAGGCGATTGAGGGGATAAGACTTTCATCTTCCAGCTTTAGGCTTCTGCCCATTACTAGACTATACTGCTTTCAGTGTACTGTGAATGAATATTTCCACCTATATTATTAAGTGATGCATTCTATTAGATGGATATAATAAATATTATAATTTAAGTTATAAATCTTTTAAAAGGTTATTCAGTGCAAACATTTTTAAACACTTTTTTAGGTCTCTGTTGTAGGATTTTTAGTATTTTTTTAATTCACTAGGAGTCTTAAAAAATGGATAAAGCTTGGGCCTCCCTTGGTGGGGGTCTCACTGCTCACCAAATTCATTCACCTTCACAGGCTGCGCCTTGAGTGGCCAACTGGAAGATCACACACAGCATGAAACACTCCCTTCCTGACAGCAGAGACAGAGAAGACAGAGTCCAGGCAGCCCTAGCAGAGCTCCAGGGACAGTTAACACCCACCCACACTGGTTATTCATTCTTTTGTTTCAATGAATCCAAAAAAAAAAAAAAAAAAAGACTCCACCATGGTAGGTGTATTGAATTATCTAGATTATCCGTTGATTATGACCTGAAACTACAGGTCCATGATACTTTTTCTATAACCTTGGGGGCCAGGTGTGTTTTGTAATTCAGGATTTAAAAAATTTTATTTTAGAAGAGTAACACGGTGCATATATCCTGTGTTACTTAACATCCTCAGCAAGATCTGGGGTGGCATCTTAAAATCAAATACATTAACATTCCTGTAGTTAAACACATGAATATTCACACTAAATGGGATCATTAAGAACTAGAATAGCCTATGTCAGACCAGGCCAGGATTTGCCACTAAAAAGATTGCTTCAGTCTTTCAGATTGGATGCTTTTGGGATTTAGGAATTGCATTGTGTGTGTGTGTGTGTGTGTGTGTGTGTGTGTGTGTGTGTGTGTGTTTAAGAGTTTATTTCTCTCTGTTAGTTCTGCCAGTCAGTTAGGACAATATAGGAATGGCTTTTTGAGTAATCTGTGTGAAAACTAGCATGAGGCATTTGAAGGAAGACCAAAGAGATCAGAAGGATGGGCAGGCCACCTTTTGAAGGAGTAGGGGAAAAAAAATCAATGTTCATGCCTTTGGGTGTTGTAGTTACATTATTTATCAAGCAGGCTAAACAGGGTGAAGCAACTTTCACTCCTTTCAGTCTTTTAAGCACATTAAAACATGGTGATCAAAAGAATGGGCCCCGTTACCCTAATTGCATCTTACCAGCTGGCACCATGAAGATTTTAGGGTAGGAAATTAGGTTGATGATTGTGGGGATGGTAGCATAAATTTACTTCTGTCCTGATGTGAAAATATCCCTTCTAGCCCTATAATTCTGTGATATCGTGGTATCTTCTAATTATGAATATTGGCAGAAAACCTTTTAATATTTTATAAGAAAAGTAGTTGCATGCAGGACTTGTCAGGAAACCAGTAATTTATTCACTTTTTTGAAGATGCTGCCGGCAGTAGTAAGGACCGAGCTCAGGACTCAGGAACCTCTCTCTCTCTCTCTCTCTGGGGGCCACCAGCTGGCTGAAGAGTATCAGCTAGGCAGGGGAGAAGTGGAAAGGAAGGGAGAGCCTCAGAGAAGAATGGAGGAGAGACCACCTTTCTCCCCATGGATCTTCAGGAAGGACCATTAGATTTTGAACTTTCAGAATGCAGAGGTGATGCCTTATTAATGCTTCCATACTCCTTTCACATACCTTGCATTAATTAGATTGCTGCCAATGAAAATGCAGCATTATCAGAAATAACTTGCTACATAGGTAATCCCTACTTGGGGTAATTTGTGACGAACTGACTCTTAAGTTGGTAGAACTCAACGTATGGCAGAATTCAGTTTCATTCAGGTTTTCTTGACTCCGTGTGCCCAGTTCTGTTGGACTCCACGCAGAACTTATGGGAAGTCTAAGAGATCTCTGTGACCTCTTCCTGAGATGCATACAGGAAGGTAGAGTGGAGAGATTGCTTGAAGTTCCTGACCACATCAGTGTTGAACTGAGTCCAGCTGTGACCAAAAAGAGCTCATGAAACTTAACTATCTCTAATATACCAGAACTAGGTTTGGGACATGGTAGATACTCGATAATTGTTGAATAACTTATTGAGTAACACCTAGAATAGTACAATCTTGCTAAAACCTATAAAAAAGCTAAAAATATATTTCGTGCATGAGTACACACACACACACACACACACGTGTGCGGAACGTTATGGGCTTTGTGTCCCCTCAAATACATTTGTTGATGTCTTCGCCCCCTACCTCAGAATGTGACAGTATTTGGAAAAAGGGTCTTTAAAGAGAAAATTAAGTAACAATGAAGTGATATGGATGGGCCCTAATTCGGTATGACTGCTGTCCTTATAAGAAGAGGAGATTTGATCGTGGTGATAGAGGAGAGACTGTGTGAAGACACAGGGAGAACATGGCCATTGACAAGCCAAGGAGAGAGTCCTCAGTTTAAAAAGCCAACCCCACTGACACCTTGACCTTAGACTGTAGCCTCTAGAATCGTGGGAAAACAAAGTTCTGTTGTTTAAGCCACCCAGTCTGTGGTAGTTGCTTATGGCAGCTCTGGCAAACTCATGCATATGAGTACTGTAAGATATGTATGTGGAACCTAACGGAGAATTCTACACTCTCAACATTGACCTAAAACTATTAATTCAGCTAGAGTAAGAATGCTTTCATCATTTCAAACAATGCTTTTTCTTGATGTCTTTGAATTTAGGATTTTTTGTTTTGTTTTTAAAAATATCTTGAATGGGTTAGGCTTCTTTTACAAAAGCTTGTTGGAAAAGTTGGAAACAATGCTTTTCTCCTCTTAGTACATTTCGTTGTAATCATCACACATTCCTGCCCATCTCACAAATCATAGTGGTGGCAGCTATGCATGTGCAAACATTCTTAGAAATGTGAGGGTCTGAAAAGGAAGAGCTCCTAAATATGGTTTTCTTGTCACTCTTTCCTGCCCTGCTTTCCTCTTACTAAGAACAACTTCGAGAGCACTTTGAAAGGAGAAGAGATGTTACGGAAGGGCAAGCTATAGGGGCATTTGTAGGAAGGGGGATGGATAGAGAGGGGACATACTTGTGGGCTGATAGGCCTCCTCTCCACCACGCTCAGCTGAGTGAATAAAAGCAACAATAAATAAAACAAGTCTGCATCAAAGTTTGATGCATGCCCTGTTCCGAAAAAACTTAACTGGCATAGAGATGCCACTTAAATTAATACAAATAAATAAAGTAAGGCAAAGGGATAATCAGGTTTCCAAGGCAAGATGGATCCAAGAGTGAGATTAGAAGCCAAAAGCATGCCATGAAATCCCATGCTTTTGCTCATGGTGGGCTATAGATTTAGCTTTAGGGAGCGTCAGTGCTCTGGCAACTTGGACAAAGAAAAATTCTATTAGTGACATCATTCGCAGTGTCCATGAGGTAAGCACAAATCAATTCCCCAGGAAAAGCACAACCATCCATGACATTGAGGGCAGAGAGAAATCATTCTGGTTAAATCCTCAGATTAGATTCTTTCTTATAATTCTTTTCTATTCAGTATGAACCGGTGGTGTAATGATAGAATTCATGTCATGAAAAGCAATTTTATGGGGTTGGCAGGCGAGAGGAGCTAATAAAATAAATGTTAAGTGTAAAATCAAAGGGAGTATATATAGAAAGATAAATACATAGGACATTCCATTTTCATTTAATTGCATAAGCTGAGTACTAGATTCACTAGGAAGTTTTAATAAATGTTCTTGTTTCATGTTTCATTTTGGAATAACAGAATCACAGAAATTTGACACTTTTAGGGACTTCAGTAATCAAGTTTCCTACTCTTTTTTTCCTAGATGAAGAAACCAAGGCTCAGAGAGGTTAGGTAATTTCCAGTTTGCACAGTGTTTGGTAGAGCTGGAAACTAGAATACTTACTTCTCACATCCCAACCCAACGCACTTAGACATCAAAGGATGCTTAAAAGTTTAGGTTTGAACTCAAGCTTTCATAGGTCATTAAAACTATGTTACTTGTAAAAATGCTTGCTTTTAGGCGTTCAGCTGTGTGCAAACAGCGAAATGCAGAATAAAGTTGTTTTTCCTGTGAAGATGTCTTTGTTCTATTATTCTGTTTTACTTGTTGATGCTCCAAAGATTATTTTTTTCTAACTGCCTATTGTTCTACTACCAGCATTTATTAAAAGGGCTTTGTTTTAAATAAAAACTGCCTTTGTTTTGGTGCCAGTGAAAACATTTGTGTAGATCTAAGAACATTTGCTTTTCACAAGGTTTGAGAAAAGTGGAGTATTCTTTTTTGAATGGTCCATTACTTTATGAGAGAATTATTTCCATCTCAGTTTTTCTCTTTGAGAACTCAAAGTGATATGTTTGCTATAATAAATTGGAGCAAGAAGTCAGAAGAAAAGATTTTATCCTTTTTAGTAAAACAGAATCACTTTAGAGTTTAAATGCAGAATTAAGCAGAGTAGGAAATATCAAATTATCTCAGATCAAGTGTCCTTTTAATTTAGGACATTTATTTTCTAAATGCACATTTGGAAAAGGATTCAGGCAGTGTGATCTTACATGATTTGAATGGAGGCAGAATTCTAACATTTTAAAGATGGCATTAAGGTAGTCTTTATTTCTTCCAAATTGCTGCCTGCTCTGAATTTGTTTTTCTGCTAGCGTTTCTAATCTCCAAAGCTATAGGTTAAAAAAGGGTGGTGGGTAGGGGGTGGGGAGCTTTGAGGGGTTGGAGAGGTAATCTGCTTCTTTTAGCTCTCTCTTTTCAGTTTCAAAATCTGTGTCTGTTTCCAGTGGAGATGCTACATGTATCTGTAAGGATGCCAAAGGAATTTTCCAGCCAATAAATGTTATCTCTGTTGTATGCAGGATAAACCAGACATGAAGAAGAGATGTGTAGGATTCAGAACAGAACTGGACATTCTGATACTTGATTGGGTACCAGTTTCTGTTTTTATTATTCACCACATTCTGATCCTCTGCCTATCCAAAAGGAGCATCTTGAGGGTCCACTGTGGTAGAATAGAAGCACCTATATCCACATGACTTGAGTACTAAAAATCCTGTGTTTGGGGCTTATGAAGCATTTTTAAAATCAGTTCTGATTTTAGTGTTGCAGAGGGAAAATTACATACACACGCATTGGTCTAAAAAGCAATGCTTTGGGTCTGTCCGTATTCCTTATGTCACTCCAGTTGCCTCCATTTTGAATGGTGAAAGTGGATGATCTCCTTAGTCAGCTATTTTACACCAATTCCATATTGCTGGACTTAATTTATACTATTTAAAAGCATTCATTCATTGAAAAAACCCATTTGTTGAGGCCCTGGTATATGTAAGACTATGCCTTAACAAAAAAGATTTAGCTACTTGTATGAATTCATCTAAAATATTATTTAAGGCAACATGATAAATACTTATGATAATGTTAATTGAAAAAGAAAGCATACTTTGTATAATGATTATAACAGAATAAGTGTATGAAAATAGGTGGAGAGTGAAGGAAAATGAAAACTATTTTGTGCTTGATTTGATGATAGAAGTTTTTCTTTTAAAAATACAACTTTTGCTTTTAATAATAAACAAATGAATTCCAATATATATAACCATTCGAATTAGATAATTCTGAATAATGCAGGTTATCAGAATTTTCCTATCTTTTTCACTCCTGCGTCTCCACTCCCTAGTGTAGGATCTGGCACACAGAAGTGTTACCAATGTTTGTCAAATGAATTAATTCAAGTAAAAGAATTACAGATCATTTGTGAATTTGGAGTGACCGCCTCAATGGTTGATCTGATTTTCATAAAGGCCTGTCTGGCATTTGTCTTGTAACAGGCAAACTGTAACTAATCATTCTGTTCTCTTTGTATTATTTATAGGGATATTTTGCACCATTTCCCTCTGTACTTATGCCGCCAGTATCTCTTATGATTTGAACCGGCTCCCGAAGCTAATTTATAGCCTGCCTGCCGATGTGGAACATGGTTACAGCTGGTCCATCTTTTGCGCCTGGTGCAGTTTAGGCTTTATTGTGGCAGCTGGAGGTCTCTGCATCGCTTATCCGTTTATTAGCCGGACCAAGATTGCACAGCTAAAGTCTGGCAGAGACTCCACGGTATGACTGTACGCACTGGGCCTGTCCATAGTGCGAGCGACTCCCTGAGGGGAACGGCGCGGAGTTCAGGATTCCAAGCACAAAGCGGTCTTTTACATTCCAACCTGTTGCCTGCCAGCCCTTTCTGGATTACTGATAGAAAATCATGCAAAACCTCCCAACCTTTCTAAGGACAAGACTACTGTGGATTCAAGTGCTTTAATGACTATTTATGCTTTGACTGTGAGAATAGGGAGCAGTGCCATGGGACATTTCTAGGTGTAGAGAAAAAAGAAACTGCAATGGAAAAATTTGTATGATTTCCATTTATTTCAGAAAGTTTGTATATAACAATTACCTGAGAGTCATTTCTATTTGCAAAAGGATTCGTAACAAAGCGAGTATAATTTTCTTGTCATTGTATCATGCTTGTTAAATTTTAATGCAGCATCTTCAGAACTTGTCCTGATGGTGTCTTATTGTGTCAGCACCAAATATTTGTGCATTATTTGTGGATGTTCCTTGTCACAGGAAGATTCTTCTTCTGTTGCCTTATTGTTTTTTTTTTTTAATTGAAGTCTCTTCTCCGTCTTTGTACTGGAATTGAAATCATTAAGATAAACAGATCAAACGTGCTTAAGAGCTAACTCGTGACACTATGCAGTATTGTTTGAAGACCTGTTGTTCAACCTCCGTCTCTTTATGTTAACTGGATTTCTGCATTAAATGACTGCCCCCTTGTTAATCTGGGTGTGTTTTCCTATGTCTTTTAGCTGTGTCAACAGGTCTCCCTAGCCACAAGGACAGATGAAAACTCCGTTGTTTTAATAAGACTCTTATTAAGACTTAGTAATTGCTTCATTTCAATTAGGTTGGGCATTATTATCTTTTGTAGCAACCACACACTTGCTATTGACAAAAGATGTCATTTTCAAACTTGTTTTTAAACCATACTATACTATTTAAAATTTTCTTCTCTCATTCTGCTGTTCTCCCTTTTTCCCCCTTTCTCTCCCTCTTCCTCCCCTGTTTACCATCTGCCTGGTATGTATTCAGTCATAAGGGTACATGGTCTTTGTTTTTGTTCTTGGACCACCTACAGCAGCGATTTTCAACCTCGGCTGGTCAGAATCACCTGGTGAGGTCAGCTGTACCTAAACTGGGCCTCACCCCAGAGCAATTAACTCAGAATGTCCACAGCTGGGCCTAGGCTTGAGCATTTTTGAAAAAACATCCCAGATGATTCTGATCCACAGCTGCGATTGAAAGCCACTCGTTTGGGCCAGAGCTGTGGTTATCTCCTTAGCTACTAACCAAGTGAGCTCGCTTATGTAGCAGTTACTATGTGCCAGTAACTGGGCTGTGGTGTCATTTCCCTTAATCCTCTCCAAAGCTCTATGAGGTAAGTGCTGTTATTTTACATTACTCATAAGCTGATGATCAGACTCAAAACATTCTCTTATTTTTTTCTCAATGCTTTTTCCTCTGTGTGGGTTTTGGGACAACAGTTAAAATTCTTCCGTTCTCTTATCTTTCAGTGGAGGGGTGGGCACTCACCGACTTCTAAGTTTTTCCTTTTAACTCCAACCCTTATCCCCGATTCTATACACAATGTAGGATAAACATGGCCTGTAAAATAGAAGACGCCATGTCCAGAAGTAAGATGCTGTTTCAGATTTTAATTTCATAAAAGATTTTTGTTTCTTCTTTATAAAAACTGATTTCATCCTCATAAAAGGAAAATGATCATCTACTCCCAAAGAACAGAGTCTGATTTCCAAGTGACAGTGTCCATATATTGTCATGTAAGGGCCGAAAGGAGCTGGAGGATGCCGGCGACCACACCATCTCTGGCTCCGTGGCTCCAAGGCACAGCACAGGCTTGTGAGTATATTCACTGGCACGCTCTCAGGCCTTTTAATATACCAGTCCCTCTGGATGAGAAAAGAGACGTATAGAAAGGGGAAATTATTTTCACTTATTATGTGGGAAATTCTCAAAGCAGGAGAGCTCTTTCTCTGAAGTCTTCTTTAAAGATCCCCATAGAAGATGTCAAGACTCTTGGACATTTATATTCCAACCAACAAAGCAGTGTCTGAGTGAGTAACTTTTGAAGTTTCAGAGAAGTTTCCTAGGGGTTTGAGGTGAGAGTAGAAGAAAGCCTTGCGGTGGCAGGAGGTTGAAGGGTTCACACACCAGAAAGATTTGCCCCGAAGCCAGGGGAGTTCACTTAGGATTCAAACCAGTGCTGGCAAGGACTGAGGCTCTCTGCCTTCCAGCCAAAGTGAGCCTGAAGCAACCAACGTGCCAGGCCAAGGTTCCTTGCTTTCTACGTACTGTCACGGAAGTGTGGGCAAATGTTGCCAGTGCTGGGCATTTGGCCCTGAGTCCTTGGGCTTCTCTTAGGAGTTTTTTCTTGACTGGCTTGTGAATGAAGAATGATTGAAATGATTGCACAGTACTGTGTGGGACAGAATAATGTATTGAAATCCTTTGTTCTATGTTCTCTCTGTCCACACACTGCTCTTTTTTAACAGCCTTGTCCTTGGTTTATTTGCCGTACTAGAACTGCTGTTGTCCATTCTGGGGAAACCCTCCCTCATCTTTCAAGGACCACCATGGTCCTTGATAATCAAGATTTCCCAGGATATGGGAAACCTCCATAGAACATAATAGCCCCCATAACGTTTCTTATGTAGTCAACAAATATTTACTGAATGACTATTATGTGCTTACATTCTAGCAGTTGGGAAACATTAGTGAGGCAAAACAAAGGTTCTTGCCCTGGTAAAGCTTATGTTCTAGAAAAATGCAGTGAAGGACAAGTGAAAAAAATTAAGGTTACTCTTTTTGGCCCTAAATTGTTTTATAAGTCCAGGGTTATTCAGTTATTAAAATAAGTTTCTTTTAAATTACATTCCCATTGGCTGTGCATTTCATACTTCACAACATCCTCATTATTTGAATCTAGCCCTGGCAAGATAAAAAATACTTTTTTTGTGGGGGTTGGGGGTGGGGGCTGGGGGATGCCTCTTAAAGATTTCTTATTCGAAATTGAAGTCTGAGAATGACAAAAGTGTGCCCCACAGGTGAGCTAGGGGAATAAAAATCTGGGAACCTGCGACTCAGGTGAATGGGGGCTCACGAGCTCAAAATATAACATCTGATGGAGGCTGGCGCAGCTGGGATGCTCACGCTGCCTGGGCACTCACCCCCTCTGGGTCTTTGCTCAGGCTCTTTCTTCTGCTGGGGACACCCACTCCTCTGCCTGGCTTATTCTGACTTTTCCTTGTGTCCATACAACACTCCCGGACACCTTCCTGAAACATGCTGTACTGCTTCAACCCCTTTCCTGATCAGTTATGCTCTGCATGCAAATTGCCTGGTAACCCCTAACCAGATCATAGACTCTTACAAGGAGGAGTCTGTGCCTTGTCCTGGTGCTCAGTCCGCCTAGTGCCTGGTACACCATAGGTGCTCTTCAATCTTTGTGGAATCAATACATGGATTCAGAGTCACAGATAAACTCTTTTCTTTCCTGGACACAGCTGACTCCCTTAGCACCAATTTTAGGGAGCCCATAAAAAATATACAGTAGTGTGATGAGGCTAAATGGAAAGAGAATATAGCTTGGCAAGAAGGAAGCCTCATTGGAATGATTAAAGGGACTATTAACCCAAACCAACCTAGACATAACTTAAAATGTGTTATGAACTACTATGGAATATTTATTTGATGGCTCAAACATTATTAAGTTAGTAACCTCAATATGGTTCTACACCTCGTTTTAAAGCGTTCTCATTTACGTGCGTGTGTTTTAAATCTCTAATTGGAATTCTGAAAGGAATGCTTCAGAAATGTCTTCCTTTGAATGCAAATAGCTATCCTGACCAAGAACACACTTAAATTGCATATGAATTTCTCTGGGGTCTTGCCCTTTGACTGGAAGAAGAGGAAGTTTTCTGTGCTGCATGCAGGACAAACACAAATGCTTGAAGATGCTCAGGGCAACCAAATGCATACTGGCAACTTGGCCATGCAATACATGCTCCTCTTAATGTGCAACCTGTATTTTGCCAGGCATCAAAGCAAGATTTCTAATTGTCCTAAAACATTAGAATATGTCTGCCTGGAGCCCCTGTAAGAGGAAAACAGATTGGCTGGCTATAAAATAAGATAGCATTTTTTCTGTTTTTATTTCCCATTTTTTTCTCCCCTTCAGCCTTCACTGTAAAATATCGCCTGCTACTATAAGGTCTGGCTATGCTTGGTTTCTCTCAGGTCTCTAAGTGAATGTTTTGCAGAGAGGAAGGAGATAGGACCATGAGTCTAGAGCAGAAGGAACAACGAAACAGTGGTGCAGGTGAAGTTGCCAAGATAGGCAGGGACTTGCTGGCCGCAGTAAAGAGTCTGGGTTTTACTCTGGTAATAGAAAACAAATGGCCTAAAAAAGGATAATGATGTGATCTGATTTCCACTTTAGGACTATCAGTTGGCCAGGTGTGGTAGATCACACCTGTAATTCTAGTGTTTTGGAAGGCTGAGGCTGGAGGATCTCTTGAGTCCAGGTGTTCAAGACTAGGCTGGGCAAATAGTGAGATCCTGTCTCTCTCAAAACATTTTTAAAATCAGCCGAGTATGGTGATACATGCCTGTAGGCTTAGCTACTCGGCAGGCTGGGGCAGGAGGATTGCTTGAGTCTAGAAGCTATTGAGCTATTATCACACCACTACACTCCAGCCTGGGTGACAGAGTGAGACTACGCTCAAAAAAAAAAAAAAAAAAAAAAAAAAAAAAAAAAAAAATCAGTGTTGCCACTGCTGCTGGATGGAGAATGGATTTAAAGAGGCACAACTAGAGGTGAAAAACCCAGTTAGGAAGGAGGATGTTGCACAGGAACCCTGGAGACAAAATTGCGCCTGGATGGAGAGGGTGTTGATGAAAATGCAGAGGAGTAGGTGGACGTATTTTAGAGATGGAATTGATTTGCTGGTAAGTTACATGGAGGTGGGGAAAGAAGGGAAGTTAACAAGGATGACACCTAAAGAATTTGTAGAGTTAGGTTAGGTTAATTACTAAGGAAACTGCTTCTTGTATCAAAAAGGAGATAAAATAATTTGGGAAAAAGGGAAAAATTGCTAAGTTTTATGGTTAACTCAGTGTCATATAGGATAGCGTTTATTTAATGGAGACTGGAATTGGCAATTGTAGTTGAGAAAATAGTTCAATGGCTCAAATGTGCCTTCTTGCTATTTGACACAGCTGCCAGCTGATTCCTCTCTGATTTCCAGTTGTTTTCCAGAAGTTGTGCATCTCAGACCTGAAAACAGGATTCAGTTTAACTGTGAGCTTGATCAATTAGTAGTGGTTGGGAAGATTTCAGTCCAGGCACAAGGGGGAAAGATGTAGCATTTGTGAATGAAAGGGAAAGGCAGATGTCACATACTGGCCATCCCCAGTTTCAATCACACCAGATAGACTATTGGTCTGCTTCAGGTAAGCATTTCCCTTTTTTGGAACTCACGAGAAATTCTGAGAATAAACTCCCACATCTTAGGGCTGATCTTCCTAAAGCATAGACCATTGTCCTAGTGAAGTGCTCATCTTGGTTGGCCCAGAGTCTGACCAGGCCACTGCCTTGACTGTGGGTATGAGGATGGATGAACTGTACCCTTATGCTCATCAGGAAATGTTCTAAATCAGGACCTTAGGGGTAAGTTCCCTCAATATCTGGCTAACTATGAA